TATTAATTTACATATTGATTAAGGTTAATCACACTCCCTTACAACAAGCCGTTAAACCCCTAGGTGATCCCTAGTGGACGAGTTTTGTCTCGTGAAGGTTTTCAGTGAAGCTGCCTACAAACTTCAATAGTTAAGAGTCCATAATTCATACGTTTCACAAATAAAGTTAAATCAATATTCCTTTGTATTGCTAGAATACTTCCTTTTTTGATCACTATAAGAGTAACACATATTAGTTGTAACATTATCTATATATTTTTATAAAAATGTTTGTGTGTGTTTGTAATGATTTCTTTATTTTCAAAAATCACTTAAAAAATATTACCATCTCTCATGGGAGTCTTGATGTCAATCCTCCCCTGTAATATTCTCAGCAAAAAATAAACATATGCTATAGTGACTAATTTCTCAAAAATTACATGTGATTGGAATATTGTCAACAAAGCAAAGAGTTTCACATGTAATTGATCAAAAGGGCGGTTATTTGAATAAACTGGAATTTGACATAATCTCATAAAAGAATATTAACACTATATTAAACATATTATCAACATCCTTCTTTTTTGGATTATTAGATGAATACACATATATGACTTCTGGAATCAAAAAGAACTTTCTTAGGGTTGTAATATGGCCAATGGATTAAGGTTTAAGAAAAAACGTGAATGGGATTCAAAAGTTAGCCTTTCTTGGCACACATTATTCTATTCTTTCAAGACTCTCACATTTTTTTCATTTCATTTTTCATTTTTCACTTTCTTGGCTGTTTTCTTTTTTTCTTTTCTTTTGAAATTTCTTTCACAAATTTTTTTTTCTTTGACCAGTGATCATTTTCTACATTTTCTTCTTCTACTACTTTTCTGTATCATGCTGATTTAGAAAAGGATGCGAGAAAATTAGATAGCAAAGGTATTCTCATATGGCTTGTGTATTTTTCCGATTTCATGAAAAGAACTTATATTCTTTTAGGCTCAATCATGGCTTACTAAGGATATAATTTTGTAAAAGAAATGGTCAAGACTCAAAATTAATCAAAAATGGCCTAAGATTATTTTTCAGAAATCGTATATTTGTATAATCTTTAAATAAAAATTTCAAGGAAAATGTTAACAATATAATTCAATAAGTGCTAATGAAAACAAAGCTAATGAAATATTTTAAAGAAAATTTACTGTTGAATCGAAGATTCTTATTTGAGTAGATGTAGATTATCGCTCCAAGAAAGATTGGTTCAAAATCTGCAATAGATCTTACATCTCCACTATATATGCAAAGATTGTAATCTTTCCAAAAGTTTTTAATAATAAATAAATCTAATTGTGCTTTTAAGAATAAGTTTAAACAAAAATATTAAGATAATACACAACCAAAATATGAAAATCCTGCGTGATCAGATTAAGACTATTCTTGCAAAGCATTAGAATATTAACTTAATTTAACTGTGAATCATATAGAATAGTCTTCCTAACTTAAAAACATAAGTTTCATCTTAACGAATAAAAACAAACTTAAAAACAAACAAATTCAAAGCCACAAACAGGTTCAAAACATAAAGTAGATTAAAGTGCATAATTTTAAGGATGAGTGAGAGATAGTAAAGTTTTTTTTGTAGAATCTCTAATTTTTACAAAGTAGAAGGTTCTCCTCCAAAATGTTCTCGGAGTAGCCTTAAAATCTCCGCTTGACTCTGCTCATAATCTTCCATGCGTTTGTTGATCTCTGGATGGTGGTACCAAGCCGGGTAAAAGTGGTTCCCAACCCAAGTAAGATTTGTCTATCGGTCTTGTCATCCATTGGTATGTATGCTGATCCTTTTGTGGCTGCTACTGTTCTTGCGAAAAAAATTCTTCCGGTACTTGGAATGGCTCTCTTTCTGGTGGAAATGGTGCTTCAGGTTGATCTTCAGGCTGAACTCCATGACTCTTTTTCAGGGATGTCTTATCCAATGGTGCAACATGTTTCACTTTTTTCCATGTGGGATCTATAATTACTCCCTTTTCTTTGCACAACTGAGAAACTAACATATCATATGGGAGTAAGGGTTTCTTTCTATCCACAACAAGCAACATTTGATCTATGATGAAATTAGGAAGATTAATTGTATGCCTCATCCCAAAGGCATATAAAAAGTAGGTATGCTCAGTATAAATTTGATTTTTCTGGGCTCGGGGTAGCAAACTGTTTATTGTTATTCAAAATTCGGTATTTGTCTGTTAAATTCCCTTGCTTTATGTATTTATTTGGTCTTTCCCAAATAAACTTAGGATTACCAGTTAACTCTGTCCCTACAGTAGTTAATTCAAGCAGTTCAGTGTAAGGATATTGCGGGTTGGGTGGTTTTTGCATGGACTGAAAAAAATTCGACTATAGTAACCAGTGTAACTTGGAAAATTATACCCCGAACAAATATGCGTATTTGTCTTTCTCCAGTTATTTCTGTATTACTATAAAATTCACGGACCAGGCAGTCATAAGCAGGAGCAACAAATTTAACATAATCAAGTCATCCTTGTGCAGCTAGAATTTGCCTAACTCCTATATTTCAAAACCTTCATATATTACTGGTCTTTCAAGAATGATAGTTTTAATAAGAAAATGAGCATCGTACCAGGCCTGTTGTGCAATATTCTCAAAATCACCTTATTGTAGATATTTTCCAATTGTGGTTGTCGTGCCTTGAATCCATATTTTTGTTGATTTCTCTTTAAATACTTAGTATTGACTGATTTCAATTGGTAGAAACCTTCAAAATGTGATGGGTAAGTGAATAATCGGAGAAGATTTGAAGAAAAACAATCGAGTGTAGCAGATTTGAGAGGAATCCTTCAGGAAAAATTGGTTGTTTTCGAATTCTGGCTACGAGGGAGACTGAACTAATCGTTTTAGTATGGAAGGGGTATTTATATCTACACTGTTGTCCGGACACCACCCCCACCGTCTGGACGATACTCCTTGACTAGAATTTGCATTGTACTCTACAGGTTGCTGGTGCTAACTTCCTGAAATTCTACTTTCTTAAAAATAATTCCTACAGTTACAAAATTAAATACAATATAAATATTCAACAAAATTTTGCTAACCACTCTTTTTTTATTGTTGCAAAAAATTGGTTTTACTAATTATTTATTTGTTATTTATTATTTACTAATTTTCATAATTAATCTATAGCTATTTACACCGCCATTCGCCATCACCCACCACTACCATTGCCCACAAGCACTCATCGTCGCCCACCGCCACTCACACCCACTACTACCATCGTCAATGCCCACCATCACAACCCGCTATAGGGCCCCACCACCACCATCCTTGCCCCACCACCACCATCACCGTCATTATCCATGGTTGTCACTACCACCACTATTACCTAACATCCACCACCACCATCATCATTCTCACCCACAGCTACCTACCACCACCATGGTTACCCACCACAACCACTAGCATCTTCCACCACCTCTATTGCCACCCCACTACCGCTCACCCCTATAATTGATGCTTAAATTCTTTTCTTTCTCCTTTATATTTTTGACTTGATTTTGAGTGTAAATATAAATCTATATAATAAAGTAGCTTACAATACAAATCTATATAATAAAGTAGCTTACAATACAAATCTCAAAAGATAAACAAAATGACTCTTACTTTTCGCGGTTTAAATCACTTTAAATTTTATTTTAAAACTAATCTAACGGTTAATATTAATACTTTAATTTAAAAAAAAAGCCCTTAATGGTGTGTTTGAAGTGACTTTTTAAAAGTACTTTTAAAAATTATTTCTTATAAATATTTTTTTAAAAAAATAGTATTTGAAATCGTCTCACCACTATCTCTACCACCACCACCCCCGCCACCACCACCACACCACCACCGCTGCCGCCACCACCACCTCCGCCATCACCACAACCATCGCCACCCCCAACCATCACCACCACCATCGTCGCCGTCATTGCCATCACCCCCACTATCGCCACTGTCGTTGCCATTGTCGCCACCGTCACAACTGTCACCACCACCACCACCACCAACACCACTACGATCATTGTCACCCACTACAACCATCATCGTCTCCTATCACTATCACTATCGTCGACCACTTCTCATTTTCACTATAACTAATATTTAAATTTATTTATTTTTCTTCTATATTTGTGATTTAATTTTAAATATGAATACAAATATGTTTATTATTTATCTTTTTTATTACTCTATTTCTCAGGTACAGATAATAACTAGTATATATATCATTAATAATTTTTTTTATTACTCCTCTCTTTTAACAATTCATGAAAAGCCATCATTTTTTTTTTTACAGACTTCACGTGGTCTCCCCCCCTTCTCTCCATACCTCGAGTCACGCACTCTCTTGTCCCTATGACATTTCCGTCAACCTCTCTCCCTGCCTCACTCCTCTGTCTCTGATTCTTCAAAGACCTTTTCTTTTGTTCTCTCACCAATAAAACCACCCTCAACCGAAGCAATAGATCAAATTATTGTCATCTAGGGTCATCCTAAGGTGCCCTCTGATTCTTCAAATTTTTATTTTGATTCAGATTTTTGTGAAATTTATATTTCTTCTCATTAGATTAGAAGAAATGGGAAGCATTCCTAAGGCACCACTGGGCTCATGTACCGATGCTGCCATTCCTCTACTCGGCTTTGGAACTGCGGCATGGCCGTTTGGCGGATCCAACACCGTGAAAACTTCCATTCTGCATGCAATCAAACTCGGCTATAGACACTTCGACTCCGCTGCAATATACGAATCGGAACGGCCACTTGGTGAGGCCATAACTGAAGCTTTGAGGCTAGGGCTCATCAAATCTCGTGAAGAACTGTTTATCACGTCGAAGCTTTGGTGCAGCAATGCACATTCTGATCGCGTCATTCCTGCCCTACGACAAACACTCCAGTATCAAATACTTTCTCATACTAGTTTTTTCCATTTTCTTTTTTGTGTGACAGGAAATTAGTTCTAATTGCTTATTTTTTATTAACTAATGAGTGAATGCACGCACTCATCTACTAATCCTGTGTGTAATTTAAACTGGGTTTTATGTGCCTAAGAGACATGAATTAATGACGGACAAGTTTCTGCATCGTGCCATTGTTCAATTGTTATATTATATCCGTGCAAGTTGAAATTAGTTTTACTTGTCCAAATGCAAATTTGTTGACAGTTTGCGGTCATGTTTCTTTATGTAGGAAGCTCGGGTTGGACTATGTTGATCTCTACCTAATTCATTTTCCAGTTAGCTTGAAGCCAGGGGTTGACAAAGTGCCATTCGATGGGAAATACCTTCTTCCAATGGATTTCAAGTCAGTTTGGGAAGCCATGGAGGAGTGTTATAAATTGGGGCTCTCAAAAAATATTGGATTGAGCAACTTCTCCTGCAAGAAGCTCAACCTGTTACTTGCTACAGCAAAGATCCCTCCCGCAGTAAATCAAGTTAGTCTCCTAGCATCGAATTAAAGATAGAAAACATAAGGAAACAAAATCCAAAAATATATGCAGTTTGGCACATGGTGACTATATTCATGGACCAAAAAGATACATCGACATTTTACCAACTAATTACATTGTGCTTAACCCTTAAATATGGATACAGAAATGTCACTCAATACAATATTTCAACTACTACTAGATCTCTATATATTCTTGCAAGTCTCTAATAAACTTATTTACTGTATATTGTAACTATTTTAAGTCTTTTTATTTGATATGAGATTCTTAGATGTGATTACCCAACATCGTGAAGAATAAGATGTAGTAAGAAAATAACTATGGAAATAGAAAGATATACTGTTGATTTAGCTATCTCATTTACCTTTTATTTTATTCATCAGGTAGAATTAAGCCCATGTTGGACACATAATGGAGCATTACATCATGATTTGGTTTTTCCAAAAAAAAAAAAAAAAATCCTTTTGAATTATCATGTTTTCGAATTTTTCTTCTGCAGCTGAATAACAAATCCGGTCAAACCACCGAACGACAATAGCTCTCCTTGAACATTGAAAATCAATATATAAAATCCATCAGTTCTTACCAAGACATCAAGAAAATAAACACAATAGGCAATACCTGATGAATTAGGCTCACTTTATGTTCACCAATCACCATTCATCGACTATGAGTATCTTTTAGTTTCTAGTGGATTCAATGATGAATTTCGAGTCCCACCTTTCTCTCACTAAAGTATAAAAGTAAATAAGATCAGAAAATATCCTATGGAATAACGATAATAACTATAATTGCTTTTACTTGCCCAAAAAAAAAAAAAAAACTGTGATGGCATTTACTTTTTCTCTTGAAGATCAATTTCTTTTATTATGCACAGATTTCGTACACTTAATTTCTCCATGTTGAATACATAACATTCTCATATTGATGGATTGTTGATATTTTGAATGAAAAGTTGATGAGTATATTATATATGCTTGATTTCAAAAGGTGGAGGTGAGCCCGCTTTGGCAGCGGAAGGGGCTGCGGGAGTTTTGTAAGGAGAAGAAGATTCATGTTACAGCATACTCTCCTTTAGGGGCCAAAGGGACACTATGGGGAACTAATCAAGTCTTGGACTGTGAGGTGCTGAAAGAGATTGCTAAGGCTAGAGGAAAGTCAATTGCTCAGGTGAATACCTTTTTTAGTTTTAATTAACTTTTTTCTAGTCGGGGTATTCAATCTCATTATACTCAAGGAGTAGGTGTCGTTTCCTAATGTTCGACTAGCCAGTCTAGAATATGGAATATATCAAAAATAAAAAGAAAAACCTCTATCGTGGCTAGAGGAATAATTGATAGTCCAAAGATAATATCTTTATAATACTCAAGTTATAACTTGCAATACTTTTGATTGTTTAGAGATGTCTACATAGTCAATTGCGTGTTAATATAACAAATTAAGTCTAAATTATATTTTGATCCCCTTAATTGCAGAGAAATTGATAGCATTTATTATGTAGAAAATAAAGGACCTCCAAAGATAATTTGGAGTCCTACCCATTTAGTCTTTATATAATACATCAACTAATTGCAAGATAAACGAAATCTTAAACAATTCTAATCTTCTCCTAACAATTCTCATCTTCTAGATAATCTCCTAAACTATTGAAAGACTAGCTGAGTGATAACTCAACATGATGATAACTCCTCTAAATTCTAAACCAACAGGCTTCTCTTAATACGGCTCCTCAAGATGATGAGGGATGGCATCCACCATCAACTTGGTTTTAAGATGTTTGAACCTTTGAGACAATAGTGGTTTAGTAAAAATACCAACTATCTGATCCGTAGTGAAAATATGATGGACTTCAAGCTCACGATTGACCACTTTTTCCCGAATAAAATGATAATCAACCTCTATATGTTTGGTTCAGGCATGGAAAACCGGATAAGAAGTTAGTGAGATGGCAGAAATGTTGTCTCCCCATAAATTGGAGTAGGAGTGTTTGTAATGTGAAGGTCACGTAAAAGTAATTTGAGCCATGTGATATCAGCTGCAGTGTGAGCAAGAGCTCGATATTCAGCTTCAGTTGAGGAACGAGCCACTGTGGGCTATTTTTTTGCACACCAGGATACAGGATTATTCCCAAGAAATAGACTGAACCTTGTAGTAGAGTGATGATCCTAGAAACTGTCGGCCCAGTCAACATAAGAGTAGACAACCATATCGAGAGTACCATTAGTGAAAGTAAGCCCATTATTTAATGTGCCTTTGACAAAATGAAGGATTCGTTTGATTGCAGTGAAATGTTTATTGAGTGGTTGATACATATGTTGGCAGACATGATTGACTACAAAGGATAAATCAGGTCGAGTGATTGTGAGCTATTGTAGTGCACCGACAATACTGCGATATATAAGTGGATCATGAAATGCAAGCTCATCAGAAGAGTCAACAGAAGGCTTAGTAGACATTGACAAGGAATAAGGTTTGCAGTCAGACATGTAAGCTCGCTCAAGTAAAGCCGAGGCATATATGTGTTGAGAGAGACTAAGCCCAAGGGAAGTTCGGTGAACCTCAATGCCAAGGAAATAGGTAAGCTGACCAAGGTCCTTCATGCTAAAAGTACCACTCAATGTCTGGATGAACGAAGCAATAAAGCTAGTGTCGCTGCCTGTAATTAGAATATCATCCACATACACTAAGACCACAATGATGCGGTTGGAGGATGCATTAACAAATAAAGATGTGTCAGTTTTGCTCGTATGAAACCCATGAGAACTAAGATAATGGGAGAGCGTTGCAAACCAAGAGCGCAGGGCTTGTTTTAAACCATAGATAGCCTTGCGAAGTTTGCATACATGATTGGGATAATTGGGATCAACATAACCTTGGGGTTGGCTCATATACACCTCTTCATCTAAGAAACCATATAAAAAGGCATAGAAACATCCAATTGATGAATGGGCCAATTATAATGAAGAGTCATGGAGAGAACTAAACGAATGGTAGGCTGCTTGGCTACCAGACTGAAAGTTTTGGTGTAATCAAGGCCATATTCTTGATTGAAGCCTTGAGCAACAAGCCTTGCTTTACGCCGAGCCACAGTACCATCAGCATGAGTCTTGAGCTTGTATATCCATTTGCACCCAATAATTTTTCGATTGGGATGTAGAGGAACCAAAACCCATGTGCCTTGGGTCATAAGAGCATTAAACTACGATGATATGGCGTCCCTCCATTCTTTGTGCTTGTGAGTGTGTCCATAAGATGGTTCAAGAGATATTGATTTGTTTGAAACAATGGTAGTGAGTGAGATAATTGGTTTGGGTTTGAAGATGCCAACCTTTGAACAGGTGACCATAGGATGTTGATTTGTGGAAGGAAATTGTAGAGAGGCAGATGCAAGAGAGGAGGGAGGGGTAGCTATATTGAAGGGAGAAGGGGATGGACTAAGGGACAAGGGGGAAGAGGGAGTTATACTAGCAAAAGAGGTGCCAGAGGCTAGACCAGTGTGTGAGCTGGGATTTGGTGGTGTGGCAGTGGGAGTTGCCGCATGTGAAGGAGCTAGACAGGAGGATAGGAGTGGTATTTGCAAGAGAGGTGCAGTCGGATGAGTTGGTATAATAGGTGTGTGGGGTAAAATAGATTAGCTGGTCGTATGAGATGAAGATGAAGACTGTCCGCTGAGTTAGGTGGAGGAGAAATTAGGGCGAATGGAAAAATATGTTCCACAAATTTCACCTACCGAGAAATAAAGACTTGATGGATTTGAATGTCCAAACATCGAGACTTTGGAAAAGAAAAAGTATCCAATAAAACAACATTGAAGGGAGCGAGGTTGCAATTTATTCGCAGTGTAAGGCCGAATCCATGGATAATAACAGCAACCAAAAGGTCTTTAAAATGATCAAATTTGGAGGAATATGAAAAAACTGTTCGTATGGTGAGAGATTATGTGTAACTGGACTAGGCAACCGATTTATCAGAAATAAGGCTGTGCATAAGGTGTCAAGCCTGTAAGTGTTAGGCATGGAGGTAGTGTGACTCAAGGTGATTATAGTTTCAATAAGATGTAGATGTTTGTGGTCGGCGATGCCATTTTGTTCTGGTGTGTAGGGGCCATGGATAGCAAAGGAGTTGAATAAATCAATCATATCATTCTTTACAAATTCACCACCATTATCAGTTCAAACAATTTTTAGAGTGGTGGAAAGTTGGTTTTCAACCATATTTTTAAAATGAAGAAACTTATGATACACTTTCGATTTTGATGCAAGGGATATAACCATCAAAAGCGAGAAAAATGATCAATAAAAATGACATAATAGTGAAAACCACCAATAGATAGTATAGGGGATGGTCTCCAAACATCACCATATACTAAATCCAAAGGAGCTTTTACTGAAGAAAATGACCTTGGAAACGACAGTTTATGACTTTTCCCAACATTACAATGTTCACAATGAAAAGAACTACTATCAAAACTAGAAATATTATTATAAGAAAGTAACAAACGTAAAATAGAGGCCGAAGGATGCCCAAGTCAATTACGCCACACTGTTCCAACAATACATATTTAAGTTATATGGTTAGTATATGAATATAATATATAGTTAAAGCATAGAATTCCACGCCCTAGACAATCACGGTGTCTCAACTCTAAAGATCAGTTGCATAACTTTAACTTTAGGATTTAACATTAACAGGTATGTAAAACTCCATATGAAAAATTATACATTAGCCAATGATCACGTTTAGTATACTTGTTCTCTAACAAGCACCAACACACTTGCTTCTTCACCTCATATCAAATATAAGCAAACATAAAATATGCTAGACTCTCCGGATTACATATTGTTCACCTAGTAATTGTATGACTAGGAACATTTAAGAGTTTAGTATTAAGAAATATAGGTCTCCTGTTCTCAACACTTTGATAAACTATATTATTAATTTATACTCTATGGACTTTATCATGCATTTTAAAATAAAATTACCCAATAACATGATAGATTTAACTTGCC